GAATTGTGATAACGAAAGGAAGATGTCGTCGACTGACTAAACGTCTAATTCCTGTCGACTTCTCTCAATTGTACGCAAAATCTGACGAAAACTCATTGATTCAAAGAATAGGCAACAAATAAAAGCAGTTTTTTTCTCGAACTTATTTCTATACATCTATGTATCGATCCGTTTATTTTTACAATGATTTATGAATGTGTGAAATACTGTAGTAATGACTCTATTTAAAAATACTAAATAAATATTTCTAAATAATAAATACACTAATTTGATCAAATAATCCATATTATAAAGTTTCACTAATTATTTAAAATACTACTCATACATTTTAATTAAATATTAAATTATCTTTATTATATATTTTTAAATTTAAAAAATTGTATCATAATTTAAGGACAAATTAAAATTTCATTCCAATAAACTTTGCTATGATTTATTTAAAATTCAATAAATAAAAATAATAAAATCTTACAAATATGATTAATATAATATATTAATAATTTCCATTACTAATATGGAAATTATTTATAGTCCATATAAATTCATGTTCATATATTGATGTATTCAATATTATTCTATTTATATGAATAATTGATGTGTTAAGCAATAAGAGGATTAATAGCATACATGTATGTTAAAAGGAGTTTATGGTAAAGATTAAAATTGTCATCAGACACTGTATTGTCCGCATACATGTACATGTATATCCTCTAAGTGACGGGCCATTAAATGTATTTCACTGTACATTGTACATGAATTGGGTGGAAACTGTACCCTCAAAAAACAGAGATGAGCAAGGTGGTTAATTTGAAAATAAAAGTTCTGAAGTGGGTGCAGTGAGCATAAAAAGGGTGTGTGTTCATGTTCACTTTAATTATTAAGAAATCAGCATTTTATGTTATGTAATATGAAACTATGTTAAATAAGGAGTCGATTAATCGTCCACATATGGCTCTGACTTCAGGTGACCACTTTTATCAGAAAATTTAACGTATCCAATACTAACTTATAATATATGAAATCAATGTAAAATTTAATGTAGAATTAGAATATTGTAATATCATCTCGATTAGGTGCATAAATTTTTGCTAATTTCTCGATGCTATTAAATTTTAAATAGAATTATTCAAATAAGTCATTACAGGGCTAACACTCAATCGGTGCCACAGTCTTCATAACAGAAGGTACTCTATGAGTGACTTTGATCATCACTTTTGCCCATTCTTTACACAACTACTGTATAGTATTGTTCACTACACTATTCTTCAATAATTTACCACAAAATACAAACAAATATAACCAAATTATTGTATTGTAAATACTTTTAAAATGAGTTTAAATTATTCATTTATTTATCTTTTACAAGTTATAACACTTTTTATAATATATTTGAAAAATTGCTAAAAGTTAACACAAAAATGGGATTGTCTTTAATGATTGACTGTAATTACAATTGTAAAGTATAAGTAATAGCTATTGGCTATTAATTATTAATATAAAGTAATATTTTAAAGTTTAAACATTTTATGGTTTTGATTGTATTAACGAATTATTTGATATGATTATAGATTTAAAGTCCAAAATTAGGCGAAAATAGACAATAAATATATGAATGATTGACAGGAATGGCATGTTTAGTGAAAACACGTTCACATCTATCCCTTTCAGTGATTTGTAATTTCTGTGCGATTTTGAGTCCACCCGAAGACGAAGAGATTGTCATAAATAGCAGACCTTTAGTTTGGGCCGCAATACAGGAATTGATTAAATTATAGACCAATACTTCAGCGATGGTATCATTATCTGCATAAAGAGGTCCAATCATTCCTTTGCCTCCATTATGGAGACGAATACATCCAAAGCCAACCAAATGTCCACTCATATCATCGATGGCCACGAATGTCGTGTAATCGGGTTTTGTAAGACTTGATGTCAATAGTTTTTCGCGTTTTTCTTTGTGTACTTTGGAGTCGTATTCAATGATTTTTGCCAATAAATGTTTGTTTTCTTTATTCAATTCCTCTACTCTTGTGTTATCATTGATTGTCTTCGAGAGGTTTTGCCAATTCTGTGGCAAATTATTGCACACAACCATTGAGACCCCTTCTCTCACACCAAAGCCAGCCTTTCTCTCATACATTGACAACTTCTCGGGAACGGCATGTAATCCACAGTTTCTATCGTTTATGTGTTGTAAGCAAAGTGTGAATAATTTCTGTCCGATTCCTCTATTCTGAAAACCGCTTTCAACGCCATATAGACCTACAAATCCAGAGTTATGTGTTGTGACCGGCGCTCCACAAACACCTATAATTCGCTCTTCAAATACAAGATTTTCTTATTAAATACTCATATTTTTAAATACACTAATTTTCAGTTCATTTTATAATTAATATTTGTATTAAACTAATACATATGATAACAAGGCTTGCAAAGCAAAACGATAAAGTTAACCTTAATTTGACAATAGTAAAATAAAAATTTAATCATTTAGAAATAGTTGTGGTATTCTAATAGCCTATTATTCTAATCTCATTGATTGACTAGGTAGAATATTTTAAGGCAAAGATTCAATTAATTGATAAATATTTTTCTGAATGTCAAACAAAAAGTTTGATGGTTTTTCATTAAAAATTTTAATATATTTTTTGGGTCCATATATTGAGAATTGTGTTTAATATTTATCATCGATTTTCTTTTTCAACGGTAATCCTCTGCTCAGTCGCCGACACACTCTTCACGAAGAAATCAATGTTGAAATTCATTGCTAACGTATACGATATGGTAATGAAATTTTAAAATACTTATCAAACGTTTTGTAGATTTAACTGTAAGTTATAAAGAGCTTTGTTGTCATAGAAATCTATTATAAACTACAAAATGCATGTCATTTAATCGTGTATTGCCATAAAAATTATGTATAATATTGTATATTATATAACATTAAATTACATAAAATATTTAAAAATAACAATAAATTGGGAATATGATTGATTAAAGTAACAATTAGTTGTAGTCATATATATTTTTAATAAATCTATTTTAATGATTATTAATGTTTTACTTATTTTAATAAATGATTTTCAGAAATTTTTAGACATTTTATTTAAATACAGTATTTAAAAATGCATATAAATATCAAAATAATTATTTAACGAATTTTACACAGTTTTTGATAAAACAGAATATATGATAAGTAAAGGCACGTAAACAAGTAATAATTATTATAAATACTTACTATCGTTATTATTGTGGGCCACAAAAAACGCTTTTGGATCGCATTCATAATATGCCTCCAAAGTAGACAAACTTTCCTGAAGATCGTGAGCTGTGAAACAATTGAGCGCTTCCTTAAGATCTTTCTCTTCCATTAAGCGAAATGTTATTTCATTTTCAATTGAATCCATTTTTAATATTTATTTTTTAAATATTTAAATAAATCTAAAGTGTATTGCTTTTAATGAATATACAGTAAATATATAGTTATTATATTTTATTATTTACATGAAAATGAAGGACAGTTTTATATGAAAAATTGAGAAAAAAATATGGGACATGTGTTAACAGAGGCAGAGATTGATTGTCTTGTGATGGAGTTTAAGCGAAACAGTAATGCATTTCGTTGTGATAGACATCAGAATATTTGTTTGCAAACAAACGCAAGTCTTCCCTCCGTTTCTTTATATAAGCGCTAATAAAACACAAGTTTTACGCAATTCTGATCATCGCATGCGTTATCATTGCCATCAATTCACTCCTTCTCCACACAACTCCTCGTTTGACATAAATATACAAAAAAACAAATATTATGTTTGTTGTTAACATTGAAATGTTTTTCTTATTTAATACCTGTATTTTGCAAATCGAAAAAAGTACAGTATTTTATTTTTAAAATTTAAAATTAATTTTATTGTAATAACCATAAAAAGATAAATACAATTGTAATGAATTTAAAGTTAATAAATTTTCTATTTTGATTTCCAAAACAGCCAATTTTCAATTTACACAATATTAAAAAATTATAACAAAAATTGAATTTTAGTAATATTATAATATTTTTATTCACAAATATATAAAAGATTTTCCTCTTTACTTTGTATTTTATACGCTACTGTATATCAATCATATGTTTAGCGTCAATCATATGATAAAACAAACTAGTGCAATTGAGCGGATAATGCTCTTTATAAGATTCTGGGATACAATTGTAATCTAAATAAGAGTTAGTTATTGGATATTTTGGTATTCAATTAGATATTAATTGCTATAGTTTTCTAAAAATTTAAGTTTTTGTGCGTCCTTTTTCTTGAGTCCAATTCTTGTGACCAAATCCTCGGCTTTTAGCGCACTTTTTGGGACCATTTGATAGGAATTGGGATTATTTCCGCCCATAAATTTGGGTAATTGTTGTTCGCAAACAAATTCATTTAAATTCTTCTTCTGTGTTAAATGGAAAAACTTTTGATCGTCTTCTGGAAGCCATGACTGAACCAATTTAAAGACATATTGTAATAGATATGGCAATTCATGGATAAGAATCGCGTCGAAAAGTTTTGAAAATTCTTCTTCTGTGTTAAATGGAAAAACTTTTGATCGTCTTCTGGAAGCCATGACTGAACCAATTTAAAGACATATTGTAATAGATATGGCAATTCATGGATAAGAATCGCGTCGAAAAGTTTTGGATAATAACTGCTGAAAGACGTGACGATAAACTGCAATAAATCTAAATCCAAATTTGAAATCCCAATACCACTGCAGTCTAGGATTAGTGTCACACCTTTAAGTCAAACATTTTAATTATTTTAGTTATTTTATTCAAATTGAACATATTTTTATCAAACCTTTTCCATCGTTATTGAAATCAATTTTTTCAATTTGATAAATGAAAAACTTTTTCATGACATCAGACCATTCGTGGATCTTCTTATGAATATTAGCCCTCACTATAATAACTGTGGCATCATTTCTATCCCTTCCGTATGTGATTATAGATCCGCTTCTGTAGTATTCTTCTGGAAAATCGCTTTCCTTTAGGTCTTTAACTCCAAACGATTTCCTCCATCGCATAGCATTTGTCAGACCCTTTAGAGCCAAATCTGGATTATATTTATGCTCTAAAATGAATCGTTGAGTTTGCCATTCATATGATTGCAAACATTCAATGTCTTCATTATAATAGAGATGAGAATTACTTTTGACTTCAGCTAAGAATTTGTTGTAAACCTCACTATAGAGTTGTTCACTAATTTGTGAAATGCCCTGAAGAGCACTGACAGGTGGGGCCGGCATTTGTCACACAATTGCATTCAACTACTCCTCACTAAACACTGACTACTCTTTACATTTTGATTTTAAATTTATATTTTAACCAAACGATCATATAATCAATATTTTCCTTATTTGTTATGATTCTTAACTAAACAGTTATTTATATATTTATTTATTTCTACATTATTAAAGTTTTACTTGTACAATATATTTAGTGGTTTATATCTTACAAGTAATGTTAATTTGAGAAAACGAGATAATATTATAAATATTAGTTTTCTAATAAATTTATTTTATTTTTCTAAATTAATATCAAATTGAATCAAAAATAAATGTGGTTATCATTTATTGAATTAATATAAAAACAAGCCTAACCTAACTTTTTAAATCTGCAGTAATGCCTGTCTTAAACCATTACTCCATCTATCCATCCATCCTATGAATGAAGTAATACAATGTAAAATATATACTGTACAGAATATTATTACATGATAACAGAATCCCATTAATAGAGTCATTAGGTTTACAACAAGAACCTTATATGTTGTATAAATTTATATTATGTAATGTCTTTATATTATATCCGACAAGTGCCTAATATACTGCTTAGCAGCTTAAAAATATACATTCAGGGTCTCATTAATTAAAATATGACTGGATAGGTATGATGAGCAAGGTGGTTAATTTGAAAATAAAAGTTCTGAAGTGGGTGCAGTGAGCATAAAAAGGGTGTGTGTTCATGTTCACTTTAAAGTTTTAAATCCCTAAGCTGTGGTTCAGTCACACAAAAATAGAAATTCAGAGTCTGATTAATTTAACTATGACTGGATAGGTATGATGAGCAAGGTGTCTATGTTAGTAGCAAATTATTGCTCATAATGGTTCTGAAGTGGGTGCGAACTGTGTCTGTGTTCAGATTTACTTCAATTATTTAACAAATTAACGTATTATATTATGTGATATGAAACAATGTTAAATAAGAAGTCGATTGATTTTTCATATATGGCTGTCCGACTTCGGGTTCGGTTGCAGTGACCACTTTTATCAGAAAATTTAACTTATCCAATATTAACATGTGATATATGAATTCAATGTAGATTTTAACGTAGAATTATAATATAGTAATAACATCTTAATGGGTTGCATAGATGTTATGTAATTTTAATTTATTATTTGTCATTTCAATTTGTAAGAGTTAGTGTGAGATGAAATTAAACTCGTGGTCGTAATCTAGGATTGGTGGTGGTGTTTTGAAGTGCAAAGGGGGCAGAGTAATGGCTTATTTGAATAATTCTATTTAAAATTTAATAGTATCGAGATATTTAATTAATAATTCTATTTGATATTATTTAATATAATTTGTAAAAATGTACATAAATGTAAAAATGTATATAAATTGTTATTAATTACTTGTAAATAACAATAAAATTGTAAAAATTGTTTAAACGATTATTTTTAGTTTAATTTTAATCTCTTTTCAATAAAATACAACAAAATAACTTTAGTTTTTTTGCTTTAGCACATTATTAAATAGCATGGTAGTTTTTAAATATTCAAACAGTAATATAGTTAATGAAAATATTAAACCAATGATTAGTGCATTAAAAGCTGACTTAAAGTTATCGAGTGTTAAATTTTGGTATAAATTATTATCGTTTTGATGCAAGATTTGAGCCCCACTTTCGTTGCCTTTCAAACCGTATTTCCATTCATTTAACTGCAGATTAAATAAAACAACTTTTTTCTCATAGAAATCAAACAATCCGTAAGAATATAGAGATTTGACACTAAAATGATTTAAATTTATAATTAATAACAAATTATAATTTATTATAATAACAAATTGCAAGTTTAACTTACACATTAACAATTTTATCACGTTTATAACGATCGAGTTGTTTGCGTAAAACAAAACTATTATGATAATTTTCATTACTCAACGTGGTCCTCACTAATGGGTATTCGTGGTAATAATTGGCAAACGTATCGATACCCTGATTAGTACTGATGATCACATGTTTATTATACAATACTTTGCTCATTGTATTTAACTTATACAGATTTATATATGAAATTGCATCTATCCTGATGTTGAGAAACTTGTGTATCTACAGTAGTAATCGTGATAATAAAGTATATTATCTAGAATTAATCACTTTTAATTAGTTTATTTAAAAAACTTACTTTTTGTAAAGTCAAATGAATGTATGAGTTCTTCGAGACTATTATTTTAATGGACTTTTTAGCTAATAATTCACTAATTGTCTCAATTTTATGCAAATGTTTCGATACCATTGTTGAGTACATTATGTTTTGTATGAATGACATCGGTATTAATGACATTAAAATCCATAATACCATAATGTAATTGCAGTTATATTTCTGTATTTTAATACCTGAATATAATTGACGTTTAATTACAACAATTAATTGCAATATAATAATATATTAATGTAACTAAATCGCAAACCTCTGCCCAGAAAAATGACAATACAATCAATTATAACATATAGCCTATCAATCCATTTGGTAAATGTCTTGTAATTGATTGCCAGCATTAATACCAACATCAATGCAATTGATATCCAAATATAACAATCAAAATAAGTGATAATTGATATAATATTTTGGTTGCTCTCATATGTGGGACGACTGAGCAAAACCATTGGTGAGCCCCTATTCAGCAGTAATACGTAATCCAATACTTCGGCCCTAATCTTGTCGTATATGAAGGGAACCAATAGAAAGTCGGCTCTCTATTAATTAATCAACATGCTCAATTGATAATTTTATTTATAATTTGCATAAATAAAATATAATTAAAATTTTTGTTATAAAAATACTAAATTTGTATTAAATTAGTTTTAGTTACTTTTTGGTAAATTAAACCCACGGCCCCATAGGATGAGCCGTTGGCCAAAACCATACCACCACTGTTTATATTAGCTATGCTTATACTAACACTAAATAATTAAATTATAATATGGTTTTAGTGTTAATTGTAATTTTTACAAAAGTATTTAATAACATAACTAATAAATAAATTTTATAGAAATTACTTAAAATTGAGATTTTGCTGAAGTATTTTGAATAAATAAATATATTTATGACAAAATGTCACCGAGTTGGAAGATTTGACAATGACCTTTGTGAAAAATATTATGTTTAAAATTATTTACTTAATTAAAACATAGTTACATACTTCATTTGGATATATGCCAACAGCTATACTATTTTGATTACTTGAATTATTATAATTATTAAATATATTATTTGTAGAGCAGAAGTTATTCATATCAATGAGCATTTTAAATAAAATCTATTAGCTTTATATTTAGAAATTGAACATAATAAATTCCCAAACTGTAACTTGATAGAAAATGATTTATTGGTTTATTAATATTATTGTAAATAGTAACTTTTATTCTAATTGTGTTTAATTCAACCACTAATATAAATAATATTTCATTCATTTGTAAATGTCATGGCTAAGTCAATGAGTAGAAAAATAAATGATATAAGTTGTAATAATAAATTATCGGACGATATAATAAAATTTTGTTACTTCGTTATATTATAATAAGTTATGACGACATCGCCATTATGAACTAGTACATAATAATTATAAATATATAGTTAATTATAGCAATTATTAATGGTGATATTCCATTCATTTCATTCACTATAATGCAATAAACATGTTTGTATTATTGTACTATTTAGTACATTTTGTTTAATAATAAATAAATAAATGAATTTGTATATTATTAATTATATACTTAATTATACGGTGTTAGCAAGTACAACTTATAAGTACATACTTGTAGCTCACTTTATCAGTTATGTTCTGGTTAATGGCACATAATTGAATGTTCCACTGAAAATATAGATTAATTCTACATTAATTAAAAATTAATTAGAACAATTATTTTAAATATAGTTCTATTGTAACAAGGGCAATTAGTGCAAAAAATATTCCGCAATAAACAGGAAACAAACGTACTTGGTAATAAGTTAAACCATTAAAATTTTTGATAAATCCTCAATGCAAATAATAGTCAGGGTAAAATAATAATATAATTATAGATTAATTTTAAAAAAATAATTATTACAATTTTATTAATCAAGATTATTGAAAAACAATAATATTAAATTATTAATAACACATTACATTATGTAAGCCATAATTAATAACATGTTAGGATATTTATTTTATGTAATTATAATAATTTTACCTGATAATTATGGTTAGTCCGATAAAATAACATTTAGCAAAGTTAATTAACATAGGTTTTGTATATAGTTAATATTTATTTCACAATCATTAATGCGATTTAAATTACATTAAAGTAATTATTATTACCTTGAGTAAATTATTTTGGTAACATTTTAATAATTACTCTATACAATAAGTAATGTTGCAATTATAGTAAACAATTTTATATGAGCTAACATGGTAAACAATATAACACTAGATTATAAATAAAGTTGCATAAATTTTTAATTTATAAAATATGTCTTTTTATTCGTTACGATCTTTAATTGAAAGTTATGGCCATTTATATGAATGGATAGAAAGCCATGCTTTCAGTTATTGGCAGAAATATGTGGACAATATTAACATGACTTTCATTGACTGCACTTATGGTCCCACTTATGAACGATTGCCTAAACGTAACAATACTTTCTATTTGAAAACCAATGATAACGCCGTAAATATTTATAAAACAATAATTGGTATAAGTTTTAAATTTTTTAACATTATTATTTTTAAACAGAAAGAATTTTATTATGTAAAAAATAAACCAAATGAAGCCTATTATAGCTCATTGATAGCACCGATACTTATAGAAATTGGCAAACATGTTAATTACAGGTACTTTAAATATACTAAAAATTTAATAATTTATAATAATCTTAATTAATTGTATTATAATCTAGTGTTAATTTATATGTGTTTACGTGTGAATCGGATAGAGACAACACAACACTGGATAACGATTTGGTTAAACAAGGATTAGTGACTGCTTTAGACATGACACCAATGAACTACTTATGGGAAACCAAAACAAATCACTTTCAGTGTTCAAAACCTTTATATATGTCTTATTT